CAAATAATGTCCACAAGAGGATTTATGGTTTCCAAGAGTTTTTATCCTACTTCATTATGGGTTTAAATAGGTTATATACTGTCAAATGCAAATATTATACAGATGGGGAAAAGAATAAAAGAAAATCATGTTCCGTCCTCAATATCTCTAGAACAACAGCAGCTGTTTTAATACTTACACTTCTAATAGAAGCTCCCAAGTGTTACCTTTATTTTGATACCAAGAATATTTAAGTAGAGTTTGTAAGTTTTCATTTGCTGAGATACACTCAATTACATTTCAGCATGGTATTTTGAGTAAAAACATCAAGAAAAGGGGGCTTAAGAGGTTAAGGCAGACATATTTTCTTAAAGACATTTTAGTTAAATTAGCAACAGAATTTAAAAGGGACATTTTTAATTTCTGATTTGTGAAGAATGACAGTATATGAGGCTCCTTGATGATTAATATGTTAGATATGGTCACATAGGTTCAACTCTAATTAAACAAAATTCAAATGATCTGATGATTTTTTCTGTTTTCCATCTCAAAGCTCATCAGCAGATACATTCTGTTTACTGATCCAGCTTCTTCTGAATTACAGCAAAACAATAAAYCAATACATACCTGGAGTAGTCACTGGACATGGAGAGATACCTGTGGAACAACATATAATATTAGGTCTTTGTTTGTATGTTTATAAAAAGACAGTGTCCTCATTTAAAACKTATTTGAAAACAGCAGGATCTGAACAGACACATATGGGTTGAGAAATAAAYATTTTTAAGTTAAAGCTGAAAACAATATGCTTACTTGTGGATGGYTGACAGGAGTCGTTCCCAGGGAGTCCATTTACACACGAACAGATCGCACTGCTGCTGACACTGCTGCATGAATTATTGCTGCAGAAGTTACAAGGCCAAGCAAAACCATCTTCACACTGACACTGGAGTTCATTACCAGTTGGAGAGCAGACTGGTGACGAGATTTCATGAATTTTAAATGAAACATTTTAATCATTAGTTACTAATAAATATACACAATCAGGTTAAACATTATGTAAACAGGTCTTCTTACCTGTGGTGATGTTTATGCCTGTTAGAGTCAGAGAATGGGAGATGCTGATTGGGGAGATGATATTTTTCAGTTTGTTTCTGATCTCAGTAAAATTCAGGACACTGGAGAGTGGGATGAGCAGCTCTACGACCACATTATAATCCACTGGTTCTGTGGAAGAGAACAGAAAACAAAATACTGTTTGACTAAGAATGTGCAAAACATGAAGCAAAATGTTTTAACAGTTTTGTTRAAGTCCTTTCATGAACACAGCAACTGTCCTGCTACAACACTCTTCATTTATTTCTGCTAACAGACAGATGTTTATTTTGTGTGCAGAGTGCTGCAGGGATTAATGTTTAAGCTGGCATGGCTTAAGTTTCCTCTGAGGCATGCAAAAGTTAGTAAATGCTTGTCTTGGTTTTTGTGACAGCATACTCTTAAAGCATTTCTGGTATTAACAGTGTGAGTTTGGGATTTTGAAAGTTACAAACAGAGCTTTATTCACATTTATTGTGATATGTTCTAATATTAAGTAGCAGAAAACTTCAATGAAATCTGTTTTTACAATATGATTYAGGAATGTCATGAAGAAATCAAGCCAGTTTGTGTCACCTGTTCTTAATCTTGTAAATGAAGTAAATAATGTTACCATGGCAGTTTACTGTAACCTAAGATAACCTGTATGTCCACATTCTTTCTTTAACAGACTCCAAGTTCTTTTCTGACTCATTTGCTCATATGGACACAGGAAGGACAACTGAAATCCTAGTCAGCAGCTAATTACTTGTTTGATATACGCAGAGATTCTTAACGCATGGGCCGCGGCCTAATTGTGGGCCTCAAAAAAACAACAACAGTTTTTAACTTTGGGCCGCAGAGGGCCGTGGGACCGTGTTGATTTTTAAAAAGGTGCAATACACTTTCTCACCACTAGTAGTGGTACTGCACCACTCAGATGTTTAACAACTTTTTTAATATGAAGAAGAAGAACCTTAGAAACGTACCGAGAATGGAAACTTATTTTAAATGAAAAGTAGAATTAAAAATGAAAGTAACCCATCAAAAAACACCAAAGTTTGTCACTAATATGAAGTGCAGCTTCTGTTTTTTCCATGCAATATTTTAAAAGTTCAAAACATTATCAAATACAGTTGCAG